CAGACAAACAGACATTCAGCTTTATATATAAGATTGTAAAGAACATAACTAATTATCTGATTTTTGATTCTCTTTTAAGCTTAGGGTATTTTAGCCTAACTACCTTCTCTTACGACCCCCCCCCCCCACCTCAGATACCCTCTTTACGACCCCCCGTTGCGACAGTCGCATCACAAGCTTGACCCTGGTTCCAATAGGTACCTGCGCGACGCACCCGCAACGCACGCCTCTAGTGCGGCTCCTGCCTACCTTCTGATGGAAACCTCCCTCTCTCTCTCTTTCTCTCTCTCTCTCTCTCTCTTTCTCATTTTCTTGTTTGGTGTTGTACTACATCCCTCTGTTTTAGGTATAAGCAATTCGCTAAAAGCGGTGGCGAGGTTTCACGTGCTGTAATAGTCCTGAGAGGTTCTCTTATGTAGTAGTCTTGTGTTTTTCCTTTTTTTTTTCTATCGACAAGGGAAGCTTGCTAAGCCGAAGTGGCCTTTCTAAATGGGATGTGTACCATATTAAAGGGCATAAAACGCTGATTCCAAATCTGCCTTTCCTATCTGCAGAACATTTATGGACGAGGAGTTATGAACGTTTTTTGGAGCCAAAATTGAATATGCGTTTGGAATAAAATGAGTTGCTAAAACCTTATTAGCCCTCAATTAATGCAATCAAGTGCATATATTTTTTTTATTTTACAGTATATTTAAATAAAGTACTCTGATGATTATCACTGCTCTTTTGAAGAGCTAGCGCTCATAACTCCTCGTCATAAACGTTGTGCAGATAAGGAAGGCAGATTTGGAATCAGTATTTTATGCCTTCAATATCGTACACATCCCATCTAAGAAGGTCACTTCGACTAAAAATGCACTCCTTGTGAGAAATTGAGATTTGTGAATCTAGAGTAACACTCCTTGAAAAGCTTCGTGTACGAAACCAGAGCCCCTTTCGGTGATTTGTAAGTCCAAATTAAGTTTTTGGAGAAGCCTATAGGGACCCTGGCTCGAAAGCTAGGGATCATCGAAAAATTCACAATCTTCAGATCCCATTTCTTCTGTCGAAAACATGCTTAACATTGTCGTACTTTATCCTCAGTACAATTTTGCGGCGTTTCCATTAACTTCTCAGGAAGATAAATGGCACTGAAATTGAGAATTGATCCTCTGGGGATCCCCTGGGGATCCCCAGAGGATCACACAAAATAGTAAAAATCTAATCAGTTATGCCAGTAACCTGGCATCAATCATGCGCAGGTATTAGGGTATGAGAACCTTCATAAGCAAGATACAAAAGGAAGAAGAAAGAACCTAGAATAGCGAGATATGATGCATGCCTTCTCAGATCCCCTCCCCTCCCCAGCGTGGATGTACGTGCATACGGGCCTAAGTCTACGAAGAGAAGCGTTTTAAGAATGCTGCTGTTCTTTTCTGCTTTACGTAGACTTATTATAGCTCATCCAACAGTGTAAGTTCGGAATTTGCATCCATTGGAATTTGAGGTACTCACTTTTTCAATTCCTTCCTATGTGTGCTTAAAGGCTGCTGCATGACGAAGGCGCAGAAGCAGTGTTGGTTGAGCGGGCGCGAACGCTGCGCGCGTATCTTCGCCGTTGTAAATGCTGCGCCTCATGCGTTCTGGGGCCAATGAAACCGCGTTCGCGCTTAAAGATATTGCGCCTTCGTCGTGCAGCAGCCTATAGATATGCTCTACTGCTCATGAGTGAAGTGAGAAGCATTAAGAAGGATGCGCGCTGCGGGTGCTCCGCGAAGGTACCAACGGGAAACTGGCTGGGGTTCACACTATACACTTATGAATACTACGCGCTCAAGTCTAGGAAATTTTTTTATAGATCTTTCAAGAACTCTCTACCTACCACGTGCCACATTGAAATGACACGGTTCCGAAATCATTCGGTGAGGTTTGAGAGCACCTGTGACGCGAAAGTTGCTTAGCCGTTTTTAGGTGTACAGTCAATGTCAATTACGTACTCCCTTTCGCATGCGAATTACGTATGCGCAACGCAAAGGCCCTGCGCGCGGACCTCCAATCGATGACGTCAATTTGATTGCCCGAACCACACGCGCGCGAACGTGGCGCGAAGCTCATTGCGCTTGCGGAAAAGCGAGCGCGCGGTTGACGCCGACTGTAAATCAGTCAAAATGGTTGGTACACGTTGATCGCTTTCAGAATGTTCCAAATGGCCCTGATGTTTCCAAAATAAGTTGAATGACATGTGAACAAGGCATTCACCTTCTGCAGAAAAAATAATATATTTGGTATATTATATTTTCTGCGTTTTAAAAAATCAAGTGTTCATCTGAGACAGAATGATATTGTTATGATGCATATTGATATTTTTGAAGTTGTTGAATTGAAAATGGGATATAGCGGTGAGAGAAGGATGAACTCACGTTGAAGGCAGTGTCCGGGCAAACACTCGATCTCGAGATTTTGTGCTTATCCGGGCCTATTCGCTACGCTGAAACCGAAAATGCACATAGGAGAACTCAAACGGAAAAGTGGCTCTAACACAGGAGGGAAATCGGCAGGTGGGCGGGGTCCTCCCCACTGTGAAACCACGCCCCCAGATTCCGGAGCAATCCTTTCGCTTCCGGTTACAAGTCAATCACTCGCACTTGGCGGTAGCGCTGTTAGGACGACTAGCGGAATCGAGAAGACCGCTCCGGGAGCTGGGAGGGTGAATTCACAGTGGGGAGGACCCCGCCCATTTGCTGTTTCCCTCCTGCGCTAGAGTCTTTTTTCGCCTTTTTCGCGCTTTCCAGTGTGAATTTTCAATGGCGAATAGGCCCGTATAAGCACAAAATCTCGAAATCGAGTTTTTGCTCGGACACTGCCTTTAAAGGCACCGTCCACCCTAAATTGAGGGTCTTGCGCTTTTGAGAGCACATGATAGTAGGGCCTCCTATCAAGCCAATACCCAAGTCGCAGTGGAAAATATCGTTTTGGAAGCGAGAAAATCGCTCCGGAATAACGAAGATGCGCGAGGACCCCCATCCATGCCCGCCCCTCCCCATCCATGCCCGCCCATTTGTGCGTGCGTATCCAATCACCGTTCCGGAAAGCTGACCTGTGGGTTCTCCGGAACGCGGATTGTCGGGGTTTTCGCGGATTCTCGACTTCATATTCGGAATCAGGGACATGAGAAGGCCCTGAAACGACAAAAACCTGGAAGACGAGAATCTGGGTGGACGGTGCATTTAACAGGTAAGCAGCAAAACTCTTGGCATGTACGTAACATTGCAATTTTTCTGACATGGCGACAGATGTTGAAACTTCTCCCCGTAATAGGGATGTTACAAGCAAAGAGGACCTTTTTAATGGCTTTCGAATAAGTACCAAATAATCAAAGCTGAGGCGATCTTTCTTCCGCTTCTCTGCAACCGATAGCAGTCCTTACGAGTCGCAGGGTGCCCTTACGCACATGATTGTCACTTTCAAAAATGGTTAATACCTCGAGTTAGAAGAATGTTATGATCTTACAAAAAATCTAGCAGTAGATCTTATGTAACAACCTGATGTGCTTGGTAATAAAGCCAGAAGCCTGATTAAGATTATGAAGACTTGAAATGACTGCAGCCAAGATCTTCGCACCACATCACTGTTTGTTGATTAGGTCTTCGCTGATAGCCTTTGGGTAGCTGGAGATTGTGAGCAGGGAACATTTCATTTGAGCAAATGTCTGAACGAACCACAGCTGGGGAGTAGCGGGGAGGGGGCGGGATGGAATCCCAGCTAGGAATTCTTGCGGTCAATGAGCGAAGCTTCGAAACTCTATAACAATGAAAATAATTCAATGTTTATTGGCCATTGAGAGTCCAGGTACAGATGTTTCTCATCTCCTCTAGATGAGAATTCAACTTGAACTTTGAGCGAATCATAACACGCAAAGACTGGGCGCCGTTGCGCCCGACCGAGATAGCTCGTGCATGGGAGAGACAGCAGATGGTAAGAGGAACGAAAGAGCGCTTGTCACAGAGATACCGATACGTCCGCAGACTTTGCGTGCGATGATCGCCTACATAAGAGAAGGATACGTTGACAATTCGTGAAGTATTCATCATCTTTGAACAATGATCTTGAACATGCATTTTCAATGTTATAAACGGTTGCCTTGGAAGATTCATAAGGGAACTGCATTAGTAGAGTTTAAGAGGTAGACTTCTGACGTCTTCCACAGATATATTAGTCCGGAGAAGAATGTCGCATCATGTCTATCATACAATATCGCGGTTGAATACGAACAAAAGTAAGTGGGGTGCCACTAAGAGACCAAACTCCATGACCGGATCAAGTTTGATTCACCTGAAGTTTCAAGGCTTGGGCAAAAAATCTCTTATCTCCGTCACAATTTTGCGGACCCCCAATTCGCACGCATACCTCCCTAAATCAGACACTCTCATGTACAGTTTAGTGGTTCTTACATGGTTAGAAATCGAAAGAATGAAGTTCAACGCGCTCTTACCAACACAGTTCTATGATTTCTCCAAATAGTGAATTTTAAAGGGTTGGTCTTTGAAAATATAACCATGTATTGTGAGCTCTCGAGCGTTAGCTCCGCAGAGAAAGTAAATTCAGCACAACAAATTCGTCATTTTCGTATCTTCGGTCTAATTTGTTTTTCTCAAATGTACCATCAATGTCTGATGTGGAGAGTACATGCGTGAATAGATCTCAGTTAGTTGGAATTCTACGGAGGGTTTCGATTTTTCAGTACTCGATTTTTATATTTTGGCCTCAAATTTCAGGTACATCAGTTTGAGCAGATATTTATAAGTTTCTTGTTTTTCACTGCTTTTTCCTTCTCAGTTTGCCGCATTTGGACTCGATGCGACATTTTCTGGACAACCTGATATTTTCTATCTATTCATTATGCCAAGCTGCCTTTTTGATATCCAGAGAGAGTGCGATATAAATCAAATCACAGATCAACACCCATCGCAATTTGCATCCATTCCTTACCAAATGGCTAGCTCCAAGCACTATTTCAGTATGGACTGATGACATACGCTGGCAGAACTCGACAGAGGATAAACGTGTCACCTCGCTCACACCTGTCAAAGTCCCTCTTTGCAAAGAAAGTTGCAAGTTGGTTTTTCTCTCGTACCCCCAAGTTCCATATCTGATGCAATGTGCAGGTGCACCGTTCCTATCTGGAATCACCGCAACCGGATCAGCTCTTAAAACCCTTGCTAATCTGAATTTCGTGCGTAGCACTGATGTTGTAGTGGTAACCGATGGATTTTCCTTCGATCGAGTGCAGGAAGGATCCCAGTTGTTAAGGTATGTTGACACACTATCAAGGAATGTTCTATCATACGGGAGGGATAGAATGAGGGAGGGGGGAGGGCTCTTCGCAATTGTCCCTAGTCGTTAGATTTATTCATTGACATAAATACTTGCATGCGAATATTTTGAATAAACGGGGTAGTAACACTCAAAAAGTTCAGTTCAAGTTATTATGTGTCCTTTGTGAACTTGGAGCTAATGTAAGGTTATTTGCGCCGTTACTGATCAGACGAGCACCTCCCCCCCCCCCTTGTTGCACAGTCTTAGGACCTGTGCCAAACATAATCCTGTGGAGGACATCAATTGGATGACATGAATTTACTAACGATAACAATCACCTTTAACTTCTAATCAAATCTCTTCTAGAGCTGTGGCAGGAATTAGAGTGTTTGTGGCTGGAAATTACACTCCTGTACTACTGTGAGCAATTTCTTGAACCTGATATTCGGCATCCACTTTATTTCGATTTCAGTGACGTCCTTACTTCTATAACTGGTGACTCTACACGAGTGTTGGTGGGCAAGAAATCTATTCCCCAACTGGTGAAACTTCTTCAATGTTGATTTTTGTGCATACATGAATAAACGTAACTTATCTGCTAAATATGTTTAAACACATAATTTCATGGAAGAGAATGTGCATGTTGGAGCAGCGACCGTTAGAAATTTCGCAATTTTCGCAGTCTGACAAACACGAAACCCCGAGGGAGCACTGCTGAAAAATATAAAGGGCCAAAAAAGCAAGATAAACTGTCTTGATACTTTTTCTGAATTATGAGGCAAGACTAAAGTTCATTTTGCTGCGGAAGAAGACATACCAAGCCACAACAAGATATACGTCCCAAAATTTCACAAAAATTTGAAGCAGACTATTGGGCTGCTTTGCACTGGCTCCAAAGAATGGTGAGTTTTCTGACGGTTTTGCTTACAAGAACTTGCTATGCCAACTGAATGCCACGGTCTGCTTTTGCCCAAGTGGATTGCACACATCAATACAAATCTCAACAGATATTCAAAGCATCTGCCTCTTTTCGCATCTGAGTTCATAGCTATACTGTTCTGCAACTTTCTAATTCCGCTCTACAGACCTAGCACAAATAAACTTTTTGTGCGAATTCCTGATCATACATCAGGTTGTAAAGAAAGTTCTGCCGATTTTTTTCGTAATTAGCAAAAATGAATGCGAAAGCAACTACTTGTTTGGGATGTGTTCTTAGTGTACGATGGTCCCAGCTGCGAAACACGCTGTTCAGCTTGAGAAAATAGCGATAAACTGAGAAGAGATACCCAAAAAAGGAGAAATCCGTAGCGCTCAGGTCTGCGAAAAAGCACATTTTTTAGATTTAGAACATGTAGAAGCTTGATTTGGAATTCCGTTCTATACCCTTTGTATTGGTCAGATGAAATGACATCCGACACTATCAGGTTGTCCCAAAGGTTTTTTCGGTTTCTTTCTACGATCACTCAAACTACAGAACATCAATCCATGGACGATCTAGGTACCATTTGATTCATATTTTCATTCTCTTTCCTACAGCTATATTTGCTCTCCGATATACTCTGTTTTTGCGATGTTATCGTCATGGCTTTTTGAGGAACTCAACAGTAAGTTAAATCTTTCCTGTGAAAAATTTCATCCTAGAATTTTCAAAGAGCGCTGGTAGCTGTTACGTAGAGCAAACCTCTGGCTACAATACCCATTTTAGATTGCATAGGCTACGTTCATCAAATTCGTAATAATCAACTATTTGGGAAAATGCCGCGGCTTTCTGATCACGTTTACCGTGTATGAGTACCGCAAATTCCAAAAAGCTGATTCTTCAAAGCAACTCAAACTTGTTAATGTTGCACAAATAATGTTTAACAACGATCAAGTTTCAATTCGCAGAAACTTCCAAAACTTTCATGTTTTTGCTGCAGCTGCGTGAATCTTTTGAAGCTAAAAGCAGCAGATTAGAAGAATCTAACAAGGAAAGGATACTAAATCGCAGTGACGATTGGGTAAGCGGTGTATAGCGTATACCGGGGTGAGGGAAATTAGGAACCCGAGCCTAATTAGCTCGATTTGGGGAGTGCCTGCAGGTTATAGTCACGCTGCTGTCTCTGATTACTCACTAGGACACAGCAACAATCTAAGCCCCGCCCCATGAGAACCTGTTTGGAACTTAGCCAAGGAATGCTGAAAATCTCAACTGAATTTCAGGGCTGGCTTTAAGCCAAAAACCTTCAAAGTGATCGTACGAAGGTGAAATTAGGCTCAAACGAAAGAGAAAAACCGTGCCATCATCATAAAGTATCTACTGATTGAAACTGATTGAACACAACATTTTCTTGGTTCAAAACTTCATTTAAGTGTTAGATTACTGAGAAATTATTCAAAAAACCGTCAAGTTTTTCAAAAAAATTTATTTGAGTGCTAAATCCTAGCAAAATACTAGAATATCATTCGAGAAATGACAGTCCAAAAGCTTCCCAAGATTGATGTTTATTTAAATGCTGAAATTTAGGCGAAAGACTAGAAAATCAATTGCGAAACGACAGTTTATAAATTTCTCAAAAATAAAAGTTTGTTTGTGTGCGGAAGCCTGGGCAAAAGACTAGAATATCAAGAAATGACAAACCAAGAGCTTCTCAGAAATAATAGTTTTTTGAGTGCTGAATTGCTCATAAATGGTTTTCACCCTTTATGCTACTATTTACAAGGAAAATTACGCCTCAAATTGTTATTGCAACCTTTCCTTGCGTAGATTGAGGTCATTGCTTCCAGCACCTTAGCAGGATGTTCTTCGCACATCAGAATCGTCTGTCGTTGACTGACTCAGCAATATCATTAGTGAAGTTTTTGAAATGTCATTCTGAATGATATTCTAGTCTTTTGCTAGGATTTAGCACTTAAATCAATTTTTTTGAAAAACTTGACGGGTTTTTGAATCTCTCAGTAATTTAACACTTAAATAAAGTTTTGAACCAAGAAAATGTTGTGTTCAATCAGTTTAAATTCAGTAGATACTTTATGATGATGACATGGTTTTTCTCTTTCGTTTGAGCCTAATTTCACCTTCGTACGATCACTTTGAAGGTTCTTGGCTTAGAGCCAGCCCTGAAATTCAGTTGAGATTTTCAGCATTCCTTGGCTAAGTTCCAAACAGGTTCTCATGGGGGCGGGGCTTAGATTGTTGCTGTGTTCTAGTGAGTAATCAGAGACAGTAGCGTGACTATAACCTGCAGGCACTCCCCAAATCGAGCTAATTAGGCTCGGGTTCCTAAGTTCCCTCACCCCGGTATACGCTATACACCGCTTACCCAATCGTCACTGCGATTAAGTATCCTTCCCTTGTAAGAACATTACCATATAGTCCGAGATTTACTTTATCGGCGCCATACTGTTTTGAAAGTTAGCCGTACTTCGAGCAAAGAGACTTGACGGGTGAAGAATTTTGGCAATTTTCAAGAAAAAGCATAAGGATTGTGGTTTAAAAATGTATCCATAAGAAAGAGAAGGAAAAGTTGCATTGAATGCATGTTGAAGCCCACTTAGACTTTTATTGTGGGTGGTTTCGTAGTCGTTTGAAAAAACCGACAAAACTTCTGGGACAACCTATTACTTGCTTCAATATTATACGTGAGCTTTTTCCAAGCAAGTTATAGATCATTAGATATAGGTTTCAAGAAATCGAACTCTCCACCTGTTTCAGACGCAGCTTGGAGAAGAAAACCCACAATTACTTTTTTTACAGCCTAAATGGGGGTATGTATCTTTAGAATCAAACCGTCTTTAACCGCAAGCTTCATCGCATCTTATCACACTAAAGGGCCAATCTATTCTCAGTATAGAAAAAGTTAGCGATCTCAATGTAGGATCACAATGTGAACGTTTAGCATAATACAGGATGATGAACTGTTACAACTTTGAGAATTCCATGACAGCTTCTGTTGATGGGTTTGAACATACTATTTTTTCAGTAGATTTTCAATTGTACTCTAAGGTGTTCCATATGTTTAGCTCTGATTTTTCATTAGCTCTGATTTTTCAAAATTATTGGGACAATAGCTGAATCATGAACGACGGATTAAATGGTTCCTTGATATTTAAAATCAGGTTGAATCAGCTATGGGTGCAATTAAAGTAAAAACCGTAAGCTTCTACAGTCGTAGGCTTCGGGCATGATTCATGCGATTTCATCGCCTCTCATTCTCCCGACAAAACAACTATCATGAGTAGTATGTCAATCAGCTTGCATTTCAGCTGGCATAGTTAGTCACTATTAGTCGTGTCGAAAACTATCACAACCGAGATGCAGGAGGATCGGCATTCAACGGAATCGTTACTTGTCTTGCTGAGATAATCGCGAAGCGATGATAACGCGTGAGCTATGCTCGAGGCCTTATACGTTTTCTATTTTTCGGAAAGAAGAATTGCTGGTTTGTTTTCTTACCATATATCCAGGAGACCTTGGGATGAGAGTTTATGACCATCATTTGATTAGTACACTTTTTGGCTGTATGTGAGTGGACGCCGAGCCATAACTGTACATCAGTTTCGTACTTATAAGAACTTCCACAAATAAGATGTTTCGTGCCCAAAAAGAATCAAATTACATCCAGGGCTCGGCACGAGCTGGCACCAGGGAAATTTCAAAACGAAGTCCCGTTTGATATTGAAAATTTCGTACGAAGTCCCTTTTGACCTGTTTTGAAAACCCGTCATCATTTTTGTATCATGTAAAAAATGTAGTAGTGTTTTCATGCATTTCTGATTTCATGAAAGAACTTTTCACAGCTTTCTGAGCTTTTTAAGTGGTCGAATCACATCTTGAGAAGCAGAAAAAGCCGATTTTTCGACTGCGGAGCGGACCGAGTGGTTTTCAAATTGCTATAAAACGCTGAAAAGAGAACATTATGAAACTGTTTCTTCTCCGTATGTAATCTTTTACAGTGTAGATTCATATTATGTAAAAAAGTATGAAAACTTATGTGAGCAAAGTGTCGGTGCCATCTCAGCTGGCACCCAGCTGGCACGGTGCCAGCTAATTCAGAAAAAAGTTTGGCACAGCTTTCATTCACATAAGTTTTCATAAATTTTTGGCCCGTAGTTCCGGTCCACCAACGCGCCTGCACACACCAAATTTGGTGTCATACTATTGCGTTTTGGCTGAAAACAACGCCTTTGTTTGTTGATGGACAGCTTGCCAATGGCATGCCGGTGGCATGCCGGCGGCATTTCTGCGGCAGTTCTCCGCCTCGGCCCCTGTAGAAACGATATCCCCTTTGCTTTCCGCCCTAAAAACGATATCCAGCTTGACCAGGTGCCAGCTGTGCTGAGCCCTGGTCCCATCATTTTCAAAAAATCATAACTTCCTCCACACATGATATTTTTGCATGACTAAAACCTTATTGAAAAGAGCAATTCATGCAATTTCTAAAATTGCCTTGCCTACTATCTACTAAGCTCTGGATGTAGAGATTAAATTGGGAAAATGAAATCACTTCAAGTTCGGAATTTTTAAGCAAGCCCGTTAAAAAATCTAAAACTGTCACTATCCTAAATTTTTGACCCCTCTTTCCAGCTGAGCAAATTTCGCGCTGATCGAGCTGTTACTTCAAAAGTTATGATTTTTTGGAGCAAATGTCAAAAAATCAATTTTCTTAAGAAACTGATTTTTTAGCATTTTTTGCTTGAAAATCATAACTTTTCTAAATAGCTTCATCGGCGCGAATTTTGCTCTTATAGAAAGAGGGGACCAGAAAACCTAGGTTACTGACTGTTTTAGATTTTATGGCACAGTTTTGGTTATTTTAACAGGCTTGCTTAAAAATTCTGAACTTGAAGTGATTTCCTTTTCCCAATTTTATCTCTGCATTCAGAGCTTAGTAGATAGCGTCCAAGACAGTTTTAGAAAGTGCATGAATTGCTCTTTTCAAAAAGGTTTTAGATATGCAAAAATATCATGCGAGGAAGAAGTTATGATTTTTTGAAAATGGTGGGACAGAACTTTCGGACCAACCTAATATATTAGATCTTTACATGGAAGTGGTTTTTTGATATGTCACAAATAAGGAATCCTTTTTGAATTTTTAAGCAAATCAAGTATTTCTGGCGAATTTATTAAAATGGTTCGATAGTCTCGCTCCTTTTTCAAGAAATCATGATATCCTTTCATCTTGATGAATTTTCTTAGAATTATAGTTTAAAAGTAGAAATCATGTTTTCTACAGCACTAACTCTGCCATAAGTTAGTGTAGGAAAGTTCGAGAGCTAGGTACCAATGAAAAAAATCACTCAAAATCAAAATTAAGCAGGGTCATTAAATATTTTGAAGAAATAATTGTTCATAAATTTATTTACACTAGTACCTTTTGCCATAATAACGAGAAAATGCGAGAGTTAGAAGCAATTGAAGGGAATTACTCGTTTGGCACTTTATAAGCAAGCTCAGAAAAATCAAAAAAGTCACAGCGGATTTAGCCACAGACATATGTCATATGACCTCTTGTTTTTAGTTGAAAAAATGGTGCTGATGGAGAGAAGATTAATTTTCGTGAATAACGCAGAGCATTTCTTTCAAAAATCATAATTTTTCATATAGACATTCTTTAGCAGGAATTTTAGTTAGCTGGAAAGAAAAGAGAGAGGAACATATGTTTATGCTTGTTTTGTAATTTTTTGTAGCTTTTTGGAACTTTGGTGAGCTTACCAAAAGTCTTCAGTAGAACGCGGATCAATCTATCGTTGAAACCACATGATCTTGTCATAACAAGAAAAATTTATTTTATGTAAATTCATGCAGATAGCAGGGAATTACGATTTTTCAAAATGGTGCGAACGAACTTTCGGACCAACCCTTGTTATGATAAATGGCTATGCAATGGCATCAATTTCCATTGCATAGCCATTTATCATTTTCCCATATAAGCTAAATATGAGACTGAAAAAGACAAAGGTAACAAAACTTTGCAAAGACCTAACAAATTGCACAAAACAAGAAAATATTCCCATAATTGCATGATTATCACCACTGCACTACAGCGGCGTACCCAGGATTTCCGTTCGGGGGGGGGGGGGGGGGAGAAAGGGGGACAAAAAATTTTTTCGGATGAAGGTGAGTGGCGTTAGCCACGCACTCCGAAAAATTTTTTGGGATGCTTCTCAAAGCGTCCCCGAGAAAAGTATTTTTACAAGGCTAATTCGAATCTTTAAAATTTTTAAAAATTATTTTAATCACTTACAAATAAAAACAAGTCCTCACAGCCCACTATATGAGTATGCATATTTGCTTCCAAAATATGAATATGTGCTCAGCTCTCCCCTGCGTCGGCTGTGAAATTATTGATGCAATGAACAAATTGAATTGTCATTATCGCTGAATTATGAAACAGTTATTTCGTTTCATAATCATCAATACAAGAAGTAAGAGTTTCTCCTGTTGTGAAAAAAACTGCATACGCGTGTTTTCTCTTCGATGTGAGTTCATGTGTTTTGGGTAGAGGTTTTGTTTTTGGAAATCCGCATACCACCACACATATATTCACTTGAATGCAAAGCAGCGATGAAGGTGAAATTGCTCTAGTGCCGAAGGGGAGCCGCAGTCATCTAACAGGCAAATAATTTGATTTAGGAACTCATCTGGGCGTGGATGCATCGCTCTCTTCTACAGCTTATTCCCTCCGAATTATAGTGCTGAGTTTGTTATGTCCTCTCTTAGCTTTAGTACAATTGATACTCTGCGTGGACGTGATTTTTTCGTAGAACGTTTGCATCAGGCGCCATTCGGATGCAAGAAAATGCCTGCTCACATGAGTCGCACTAAGTTGGCCTCTGTGAGGGTATTGACTGCAGTTCCTTACCTCGCGAAAGCTAATTGGAAATGGCGCTAGGAACAATCATAGAAAATGAGCGCGGCCAAACCTTCTGTGCTCATTCGTCCAGCTTTCGATTCAGCACTGCGCCAAACGGCCGACCTGATCACGCATGCTGGCACATCGCGAATGAGCGAGAAAATATCGAAGGTGAGGGGACCACATCCCGCTCCGTGTCGCAGCTGCTCAGCCCGAAACCAGCCTCGTTTCAGTGTATCATCGAAGCACGATGCACCGATAACGTGCTCTTCGCTGGCGCTGCCGTCGTTGGCGCCATCGTGCTCGTTCTTCAGTCGTTCCCATTATTCATGAATAACTGGGTGTTTCTCACCGAACCACGCCCCATAAATAAGACAAATGAAAACGGTGAGCAAATGGTGAGTGTTCTCTTTGCCCGTATGCGAATGAGGTGATATAAGTGCTGCTAGGTAACAGTCCCAAAGGGATATTTTATAACCTTTCCACTTTTTCATTTTCAATCATTTTTATCGTTGTAACGGGAAAAACTAGCGCTTTAGTCAATAGCGAGAAGAGTCCTTCGAAGTTGAACATACGGCAAAGTTCTTTGACGTAGGCTTCAGTGACTGCACCATATACCCAGATCCGATACTGCTCAAAATGGACGGTGGAATGCTTACGACATCTTTCAGCGGTATGATTGTGCCAGCAAGATAGGCCGGACTTCTGCTTCAGCTGTTTTCTAGTTTCAGTTTAAAATGCCACTTCAGAATCGACTGCGTTAAGATTCAGTATTTGTGATAAGTTCAAAGACATTGATTTATTACTCAAATAACAAACACATAAATAATGATGTTTCTCACCATTCTATGGCTAAAACATGTCATCGCACCGATTTTTACATGTCTTATTTTCTTATTTTAGTCATACTTTTCCTTAGTGTCTACAAAGACACAGATTTATTCGTCCTTCTTGAACGAGAATTTTGTCACTGGAGCAACTATTGAAAACGGTTTAGGAGAGTACGTTCCACTACAACGTTGGCTACTTCCAAGTTTGCCGGATGCATATCAATAATCAGAGTGGAATAGTATACAATGAATACGAAATACCGAGTGAGTCATGTAATCGATTTGTCTTCTACGCAATTTTGCGCTGGCTGTACTTCAGACAAGTCCTAACTCTGCCAAATAAATTAGTGGTGTGACAAGCTTTATCACGCGGTCCATAAATCTGCCGCCAACAGTCTAAATGATTCTTTTTGGAAACCTATAATGACATTTATTAATGCTAAACTTTTTGTCACAAATGTTGATTTTTTTCATGCATGTGATATCACATACAATAAAGATGAAAAAAATCTTCCTGAATCTCGGCTCTACTTAGAGAAATTGGCACAAGTTTTTTCTAGTTTTCAAATTGTCAAACAAATAGAAGTAAGATCAGAGACGATCTTAGCATTTTCTGCTACTCGACCTTGAATGTGCGAATTGGGTGTTCTCTTCACGAGCTTGTATCACTTATATAATATGATAGCACAAATTTTTTCAATATGAGCGTGAATCCTTTTTCAAAAATTGGAGGAAAATGCTGATGTTCTGGATTAACGTACGATATACTCTCCATGCTATTCACTTGCTGAAAAGTTCAATTCGCTTGCAGTTTCAGCCAAAGCTCTGTCACCTGTTTCGCGATTTTTGTACTGTACTGACAGTAGTCCACGATTCGCCGCTACTCTCGACACTCACTATAACACGGGACATCTGTTTCAGAGTCCGAAAGCGTTTATAAATGCTACCTCAACCCACTTTTCTCTCGCGAAGACTTGACCGACCATTCTGTTGCTTCCTTAGCGGTGATAAGTGGGTTTATTTCATAAAGGTTCAAATGATTAGAATTTACTCCGTCCACTTTCATGTTGGAATGCTGCGACTTCCATCTTTTATGATTTTTTTTTTCAGTGAGATTAGGGCTTCCTGCACTCCTCCATTTAAGCGGCTCATTTCTATGCTTTCTCGCCTTTGTGCTCGGAGTCACTGGACATCTACGAAAGACATCCTACACACTGCTATCGTGCATCAACTATATATGCGGGAGTAAGCTTTGTGATGCTATAAAGCGGTGTGCTGTTTTTTGTGTAGGTGTCTACTTTGACCAGCATCTATAAAATGGAATATCTAAGAGATGCGATTCTTGAGAACTTATTACTTTTTGTGGGGGGGGGGGGGGGAGGTAATACAAGCTCAGACAGTCGACGGCATACCTCCGCAGCAGAAATGGCCGAGCCGCGGGGTTTCTCCAGCGGGGGATTGCCACTCGTGCTCCGGAGTCCTCCCATTTTGTGCTCCGGGGACCTCCCATTTATGTTACGGAGACCTCCCATTTATGCTCCGGAGTTCTCCCATTTTGTGCTCCGGAGACCTCTCATTTTGTGCTTTGGAGCCCTCCCATTTGCGCTCCGGAGACCTCCCATTTTGTGCTCCGGAGACCTCCCATTTTGTGCTCCGGAGACCTCCCATTTTGTGCTCCGGAGGTGTCCCAAATCTGGCGTACCTCCGGAGCAGAGATTTGCGCGTTCCGGAGAGGGGTCCCATTCACCTGCTTGTGACGTCATCGTGACCTACAAGAAGGGACCGCCCCCTCGCCCTGCTCTCAATGGTAAATTGGGTCCTCCGCGGCTCTGCCAGATTTCGACTGTCCTCCGGAGCTACCGACTGTCTGAGAGGATGTAAAAGACATCATTGGCGCCGTAAGAGAGAGTGAGAGAGAGTGTGAGAGAGAAAGAGAGAAGAGAAAGAGAGATTGAGTGAGTCACTTTGCTTAATGGGAAATTGTTCTGTAATGTCTTTGGCAGGGTTCATACTGAGCCGCACAAAGCGGCACAGTTCCCGCACAGCGCTCGAACTGTGCTCGAACTGTGCCGGAACTGTGCTGCATGCGCAGTTGGAGTATTTTGACCGTTTCTGACGGTTTTTCTTTTAGGTTTCCCTCAATTCGGGCCTTATTCCTCCACCCCGCTTTTCCTTTTGTTGTGTAGCGCTTCGAACTTGAAGCGGGGTAGAAGAAAGAGCGAAGAAGCAATGAAATGGAAAAAGAACGCGGCTGAGAGGATACATGAAGCACAATCGCGTTCATTCTTTTACCCCGCTTCAAGTTCGAAGCGCTACACAACAAAAAGGGAAGCGGGGTAAAACAAAGAACGAAAAAACAATGAAATGAAAACGAAGAGGGGCTAGGAGCCCAATAGTGGCCAACAAATTGATGGGATTTCCTGCTCTTCTGCACTATTTTTGCCCTCCTTCAAGAAAAATGCCTGCGAAAATATCGCAGTGCCTTCTGGAAACAGATGGAATACTTTTATGCAAGGATAAAACAAAGAGACATGAACGAGCGGAACAACACACATAATCGGACACACAAAGCAGAACAGCGCTTTTTCCTCAACCCCGCTTTGCACTCGGAGTTCCACTCATCAAAAGGAAAAGCGGGGTGGAGGAATAAGGCCCGAAATGAGAGAAACCTAGAAGAAAAACCGTCAGAAACGGTCAAAATACTCCAACTGCGCATGCAGCACAGTTCCGGCACAGTTCGAGCACAGTTCGAGCGCTGTGCGGGAACTGTGCCGCCTCAGTATGAACCCTGCCTTTGATCGCCCAAAAGTGCTGTCCAATTTGCAAATTTCCTGATCTAAAATGTTATAGCTTTTGTCAAAGTGAACGCGGTTTAAATTAACTTCTCTAAAAGCAACTAATTGTGAGAATTTCTTTGTCATATACTCTTTTTATGGACATTTTAAAATAAGACGCGAAATTATTACGTTGTTTTGTGGGCAGAGGAATATAGCAACAATATGCAGCATCGAAGATTTCGAGATTTACTGTACACCAAAATTATGGCCAAAATAATGAAGGAGATTGCATTGCGCTGGTGATGTCCGAGCGAAACAATCAATAGTGAGCAAATGCTTGTCTTGATGTCTTACAACAATAACGATAGATGTAACTATGATATCAAAACGTTTCAATTAATCGCATAATATTAGTTGAACTATTTGAGGTTTAATACTCTCTACTGCTGTACTTATGGTTGTTTGCGTTGTTGACGATGAGTTAGCGCCTCGAATGAAGCCAAACTCTGCGGGTGAACCTAGCAAATTTAGCTACATTTACGGTAAGTCACACCACCACCACCTTGCAACCTTGGTTGAGGATTTTGAATCTCACAGGTTACCCATTCTTCTCCGCAGCCTTATCGTTTCTGCCAGTGCAAATTTGCGCATGTCTTCAAAGCTTTCTCTACTTTAGGTGAGCATCGATTTTTTTTCTCTTGACATTATGACACACTGAGCACACTATCAGCATAATGTTGTTTTTCACTGCATTCGTCGCACTTAAAATCAGCATTTTGAGGCTTTCGAAGCAGTTAGGATGTGCTCGAGGGGGCAGAAAACAGACTGCTTTGAAAATTTTGATGAAAATAAGTGATTTGGAAATTGTTACGTTGCCTTAACATGAAGGGAACGTAACAATTCTCATATACATACGCAACAGTGGCATTCTGTGAGGAAAAAACCAGCTGCTTAGCCGCTGTACTGGGGTTCAAAGCTCAGTGACGATCATACCTTCGATATTCTTGAGACAGAGCGTCAAAGAAGGTTGTTTGAATATCTCCCATGAGAAGTAAAAGTTGTTTACAGAAAATCAAAGCAGAGAAAAAGATGCAAAACAACTAGCGAAAGCAAAAGAAGCTTTTGAAAACCAACGCGGCAATCAGTTTGAAGTTTTTCGTTTGGCTGCATTTCGAATTGCAGGTTTTCGCTAAAGGACCAGTGGCCGTATTCATCAACGAACCCCGAGGGTTAAACTAACCCTGGAGGGTTAGTTTAACCCTGAAAAGCGTTTAACCCGTATTCAAGAAACACAGGGTAGGCTTAACCCTAAGGGTTAAATCTAACCTTGAGGGTTAATTTTACCCCGAAAGCGACTAACCCGTATTCATCAACGAACCGTGAGGGTTAAACTAACCCTGGAGGGTTAAACTTACGTGATTCATGAGGGTTAATTTAACCCTAGCTCAGAGCAAGGTTAACTCTACCCTAACACTTCATACAAACATTTACTCGCATCTAATAGTTTATGGAAAACGATCAACGAGTATTGTAGTATTTAGTATTGGTTGTTGTTGTAGTATTTAGTTTCGACTTCGTTTTATGTTCATATTCGAAGTACATGAAACACTGACTTCGCGAGAAAAAGAATTCTAGCTTTGGTGACAAATGAATGCGACGAGGAAAAATGGCATTCCACTCTGGCAAGTGCCAAAACAGAAGAACCCCTCTATAATAACACGCATTGACCCCTACAAGAGTAGCACAAGCCGGTAAAAAACGCACTGCGCAAAAGTAGAACTTACACTGCATAATTGCACACATGAAAATAAACTCACGGTGTAAGATTGGATGCTGCACAAGTATGCTAAAGATGTATTAAAAAAACTAGTGTTAGAAGCTTATTCGTTGACTATACTGCTATAACAGTGAAAGAATAGAAGTATAAAGTGTATTTAGCCCGTACTTAGGCATTCTGTGATGTGAGTTTGCACAGCGCACGCGTAACTGACGCCTTAACCCTCCAGGGTTAGTTTAACCCTCAGGGTTGATGAATACGGCCACAGGTTCGTTGATCGATATGGGTAGATTGCGTTCTGTGGTAAACCCTAGCCTATGGTTGATGAATACGGCCAATGAACCCTGAGGGTTAAACTAACCCTGGAGGTAAGCTTAACCCTCAGGGTTCGTTGATGAATACGGCCACAGGTAATCCCCAGCATGGGGAAAACGAGGGAAAGCTAGTTTCTTCTTTGTGATTGTTTTAAAAACGAACATATCTTAATAAACGAAAAACATTCAGTCATCAAAACGTAAAGTTTCCAAATGCACGTCAAAGACAACCTAGTTCGTCCTTTAGATTTGGCCCCTTCTCGTTGTTTCTGTTTTTGGCGACATTGTTATCTTTGTTGTGCTCATAATCCTGAGGAAAATGCGCCCAAGTCTGCAAGAAATGATTGCTTACATTGATTGCTTACTACCTTCAATAAAGGCCTATGGAACAATATGCACTTTTTGCAGCTTTGTGCTAGATATTTCACTAAATCGAAGAAGTTAGGCCCGCAACGTTGTTTACGTTTCAAAAGAAGGCAAGATTTATGGAATGCACTAAAACCCGCTTGAAAAAAGCTAAACTGTAGAAAAAACAAGGGATTTTATTTTCGAAAACACGTTCTTGCCAGGTTTTCGTACAAATCAGAAAATGAAGTGCGACGTTGTCAGCGTGAAAGCAAAGATCAAGAGCTTCAGTATGATATACAGTTTGCTAGAATTAAACTGAACAGCTAAGAAAAGGGTCCAGAGCCGAATGCATGCGCCCCGCGTTTGGGGTAGCGAGGTAGCGCGCAACGCGAGGAGACGCAGACGAGCCAGCGAACACAGATCAGAGCCGACTGAGCATTTGGCTCTGGTCGCAGATCTCGGCGGAGTTTTAATGAAATCCTGTAACATCATATAATGTTGTGATCCTTATGACACGACCAGGAGCACTGACAACGTCGAGGATGTTGGAAATCACTCCATAACGAGATAAACCAGCATTGAAGGCAGTGTCCGGGCAAGAACTCGATTTTGAGAATTTGTGCTTATACGGGCCTGTTTGCTATGCTGAATCCGAAAATGCACGTTGGAGAGCGCAAAAACGACGAAAAGCGGCTTTAACACAGTAGGGAAATCAGCAGGTGGGCGGGGTCCTCCCCACTGTGAATTCACGCTCGCAGCTTCCGAGCGGTTTTCTCGCCTCCGGTTTCAAGTCAATCATTCGCGCTTGGCCGGTAGCGATGTTAGGACGGCTACTCAGATAATAGCCGGGGGCAGGCAGCCATGCCATTTTTGGGCAAGCGGGCACCGGAAAAATAGTTCGCTGATTTCTTGCAGTCCGTTTGCAGATATTTGGAGGAATTTTAGCGAAATTTTGGACGAATGCTTGAAGAACAATTGCGGTTTCTTTGCAGATTAGCTGCGCGCAGTGGCCGCATTCTCGCGGACTTTCCGCGAGAATATGCAAGATTTTCGGGGGCCGCACGGTCCTTTATGGAGGACCGCGCAGCCCCCAGGTACTTCCCGCTGAGAGAAAGTACCTCAAACTTGAGTAATTAAACCATCGATGACTCCTCTGCTATGTAGAGTCTCACCTTTGCTCGGCGTACACCCGAAACTGCTTCAAAACCGTCCGAGCGCCAGCTGAAAATTTGACCAGCGCTCGCTGAAAGAGATTTTTTGACGAGCGCCTGCAGAAAATTCTGTGTTGCTGCCCGCTGGCAGAACATTAGACACTAAAGGAAGTGCCGCCCGCTGAAGGTTTGGCCACGCCCCAAAACTGCTGAGCGCCTGCAGAAAAGCGCGAGTTTGCGGACCGCCTGCCCCCGGCGATTATCTGAGTTGGCCTGGCGACCTTTAATAGCGGCCGTTATCGAAAAATCGATGATAGCAGCTATCAGAGATTTCCCCTAGCAAACAACGAGATAAAACAAATATACAATAATTTGGCACTCATACAAAGAGAAATTACACTTAGCGAAAAACGACTAAGAAGATAAATTTACTTCTTTGTCATCTGAAGCTGTTTTTACGTAAAAAAACGTGCATCATCTGTAAGAAAAAACCTTTTTCTCGATTTTATCGCGCAATCAGCTGTTCATCGATCCTCACTCACATAGGCGCCCGAAATTGTGCAGTTTTGGGAGTTTTGCACCGCAAAAGAACGTCAGCTGCGATGTTCGTAAGTTACTCGGGAGCAACTTACGGAGATTTTCTCTGTGCTCTCCTCTTTAGCGCAGTATTTACCTTATGTCGTCGCCCGGCTCATCTCCGATGACTCGGTCGGGAGCTGATCTCCCCGCCGGGTTTCATCTGAAGCTCACCTGTAGGATGACCTTGCATACTTACACCACGGAAATGTGGGCAGTCCTCATCTTATCCGACAAAGCCTCATACTCAGATAATCGGCGGGGGAAGGCGGTCCGCAAACTCGCGCTTTTCTGCAAGCGGTCAGCAGAATTTTGGGGCGTGGCCAAACCTTCAGCGAGCGGTACTTCCTCTACTGTCTAATATTCTGCCAGCGGGCAGCAACACAGAATTTTCTGCAGGCGCTCGTCAAATGATCTCTTTCCAGCGAGCGCTGGCCAAACATTCAGCAAGCGCTCGGACTCTTTTTAAGCAGTTTCAGGCATACGCCGAGCACAGGTAAGACTCTGTGTGGCAGAGGTGCCACCGTTGGTTTAATTACTCAAGTTTGAGGTACTTTCTCTCAGCGGAAATACTTGGGGGCTGCGCGGTTCTCCACAAAGGACCGTGTGGCCCCCGAAAATTTTGCATATTCTCGCGGAAAGTCCGCGAGAATGCGGCCACTGCGCCGCAGCTAATCTATAAGGAAACCGCGATTGTTCTCCAAACCTTCGTCCAAAATTCGATAAAATTGCTCCAAATATCTGCAAGCAGACCGCAAGAAATCAGCGAACTATTTTTCCGGTGCCCGCCCGCCCATAAATCGCATGGCCGCCTGCCCCCGACGATTATCTGAGTATGAGGGCCTCAGGAGAAACCATCTCCCGTGACTGAGCTTTGCTACGGGCCTCTATCTATCGAAGGCATGCTGAGGAGATATGAAATATCGCATAAAAAATCAGATTCAGTTTCTGTGATAATTCTCAATTACTTCACCTCTTGGTCTCAGGTACATATTCATGTTGTTAGTTAGGTTCTCACCTGTAATTAAAGTAGTAACAGTTTTGGTCTTTCAATCATTATATAATCGATAATAAACTGAAGCAGATACTTGTTTACGACAACTAGCACACCTGCGCGCTGAATACACTTTGCACCTGCCAAAAGTCAGAAAATGATAATGCAGCTAATGGTCGGTATATTGACTACACACTATTTCCAGGAAATCGCGTTATTTACGGATTTGCAATCATCTTCTGCTCCTAATTCAATCTGTGCTTACGAGAGGTTCCCTAAGCATTACAAACTGAACGACCGCGTTAGCTAAAGCTTAGCATAACCTTGAGTAGAACTTGAGATTTTCCAGAAACTATGCACAAGAACTATTGGACCAGGCATATACCCTTTTATTCAACTGGATTAGCGGCAGGAGTGGGCTTCATGACCTGATTAGAGCTAGAGAATGGTCAGAGAGCACGTTCGCGAGAAAAACGCAAACTGCGTCGCGGGTGCGAGCGATCGCTTTCCCGCCACCAGTCCCGTTAAATCAAAGGGTATGTTTGCCGCGAATTTGAATATGTTCCGTACGCTTCGCCACCTATGATGACTAAAGGTAGTACAACAAATCCTCTCTGGACCGAGGGATGACAAAATATTTACAAGTTTCAAAGCGTAGCTTAGAGCTCGGCACGCTTAGGAGGTGCAAGGAACATTCGACTATCCGAATGTTCGAATAGTCGAATATTTGAGAAGGTCCCATTATTTAATTATTCGAATAGTCGAGTAAATGAAAAAGGTCTGTATTCGAATAATTTGTTCATTCGACAACTTGAGAAAATGAGTTATTCGAATATTCGTTCATTCGAGGAGTTTTAGAAGACATTCGAATATTCGAATATTGAAGATCATTCTTTTGAACATTTTTGAATACTGTCAAAAGAAAACTTCAGCTGTTCTACATTGAGTGCAGGTATGTTCCCGATCGGCCCATCATACAAATGAATGATCATATGACAGAGCGGCTAGCAAGGTTCCCTTTTTATAGGCAGTGTCCGGGCAATAACTCGATTTTAACATTTTGTGCTTACCCAGGCCTATTCGCTACGCTGAATCCAAAAATGCACATTGGAGAGCGGGAAAATGGCGAAAAAGGGCGCTAGCGCAGGAGGGAAATCAGCAGGTAGGCGGGATCTTCCCCACTGTGTATTCACGCTCCCAGCTTCCGAGCAATCCTTTCGCTTTCGGTTTCAAGCCAATCATTCGCACTTGGTCGATAGCGCTGTTAGGACGGCTAGAGGAATCGAGAAGACCGCTCCGGGAGTGGGAGGGTGAATTCACAATGGGGAGGACCCTGCCCATTGCCGTTTCTCTCCTGCGCTAAGCCCTTTTTTGCCGTTTTCGCGCTTTCCAGTCTGGATTTTCGGATTCAGCATGGCGAATAGGCCCGTATAAGCACAAAAGTTTAAAGTCGAGTTTTTGCCCGGACACTACCTTCAAAGGCAGTGTCCGGGCAAGATGGGGGTTTTTGGATTTCAGTGCCATGCGAGAGTGCCCCCCCCCCTCAGACACAACATCGCGCAAGTGCGACGTCATAACACTCGACCTAAAGCAAGAGAAACAATCAGAAATTGGGGAAACTTACGCCTTGGGGCGGGGTCCTACGACCTGTTTGAGTTCCTGCTATGTGCTATGCCGTAACGGTTAAAATCGTAGGGTCCCGCAGCGACTCTGCGTCTCAGCTTTGGCGGATACCATCGAATTTCAAATTGTAGGGTTTTGAAAAACGCATGTTCTCGCCATTTTCGCCCCTTCTAATGTGGATTTTCGGATTCAGCATTGCGGATGACCCCCGGTAAGTGGATTTTCTAGGAATCGAGTTTTTGCCGATCCACTGCCTTCAAGGCAATCGCGAGTCATGCCAGAGCATAGTGGTGACAGTTTTATGCATTTGTAATCCATTTGGAGTGGTGAACTATCTTCTGGAAATCGCGTCTGCAGTAGTTGAGATGCATCATGCGGAATTACCTACAAGCTCTAAATTGGGTGATGATGCAAAGCCGTCATTAGGCGCCACTTTAGCGAACTACTGGTCCTCAAACAGCTTGCATAAGCATGTGAAGGACCAGCAGTCCTTTAAGGCAGCATGTATTGGCAACATTCATTCCTTCCTTCAGAGCTCCACCTGCCTGGCCGCCTAATCACCGCCCGCATGTCAAAATACCTGAAAGATACGTTAATCAGCGCAAGGTCAGAGCAAGGCGGTCGCGAAAAACTGAGCCACTTGACTTGTGACCGCAACCTGTATGCCAGTCACCATACTCGAATCGGCTGCTTTTATAGTCAGTAGGCGTAAAAAAACTAATGTTAAAATGCTGCAAAACTCATAGAGGAATAATACTTTGGGTAAGCTTGTAGGTTGAACAATAATTATTTTGAACCTGAGTAAAAGATGTGGAAGTTCCCTTACAAGAAAAGTGCAAACCTCAAGAATACACTAAATCAGCTTTGTGAAAGTTCAGTCCTACAACAGAAACAAGTATTAGACAGATTAGCAGCTAATATACAGATATTTCCATGGCTTTTTTTCTGGAATAGTGAACCAGTAAGCTCAAAGGTGTTATAGTTGCAGGCGCTCGCTTCGGGGACTGCTCGGCTTCCCGCTATCTAATGATTCATGAATGCACCTTACCATTCTTTATATATTATAAGTTACGCACAAAAGTATTATGTAGACAACACTGGTTCACTGATTCTATTACTGTAGGCCTTTCTCGTGCCCTCTCAGTGCTAGTCTTGGAACTCACGCAATGCTGACGATACGAGTAAACATGTTGTAGTTTCTGTAGTTTTAAGAGAAAGTTCTGTGTAGCTTCGGGAGAAACTTCTTTAAAATAATAAATGCGGACTTGAAATAGTTACTAAGTAAGGTTTAGAAGCCGTCTTGAAGGACAATAAATACCTCGAACGTAAAATTCTTATGTTCCCTAAGTACAATTCTGACCAAGCAACAATAACCCGGTCATCCTTACCACTTGCTACGCATTTAATTATCAGCTACAAATCTAGATCAAATGTAATGATTGATTTTTTCTGCAGAAAACTGCAACAAAGAAGAACAGCAATGTTTGAGCGACTAGATTATTCGCATTATTCGGATAGTCCAATGTTCGGACAGGTGTGATGGCACGAATATTCGAATAGTCGAATATTCGACCGACCCCATGTGAATATATTTTTCATTCAAATTTTGAAATCTAGCATTATTCGAATAATCGAATTCGAAAAATCTGAAAATCACAGATCGAATAATATTTGTTTGTTCGAATATCTCTCAAAGGCCGATTCGTTCGTTCAACAAAATTCTTCCGTCGTTTCAACTATAAAGCGCACCTTTTTCGATTTTTCAAACGAGCCGCTTAAGCGCTTCACTGTATTTCGGAAGGGGATTATACCGCAAGATTCTCTTGCAATATACAAAGGGTCTTTAAGTTACGAAGTCCTTTGACGTGTTTGGACTGGTCGATTTTGGAGAAAAACCCCGCGCTTTGTACGCTTGAAATTGGAGTAGTTGCGTCATGAGAGATTGGTTACAGATTTGCTTTCTATGTGCTAAGCGATTGTCGGCAACAAATTATGAGCTTTTGCCGCATAATTTTTGCAAACTAAAGCAAACTTTTTGCAAACTATAGTCAGAATCACAGATTTCTGAGTTTTCGATAAAGCGCAACGGAAACAGGTTATCCAAAATTTAAGCGATTGAACTTTTTTTGAATGCATTTATTGAAACGAGAAACCTGAGCAATGCTCTCGATTTCGTTCAGCTAAAACACTGCAATTCTTATGGAAAAACGTTCGTAGCTAATTCAGAGAGTCGCTTAGCAGGTAGCGAAAGCAGATTTGAAATCAGCTCTCTAATGAGGAAAGGATACCGTGGCCTTTTGCAATGAGATGTACACCAGTAGGTGCGTCTTGGAATGCTGATTCTAAATCTATGTTCATTATCTGCTGCGACTTCTTGAATGAAGTTACGGACTTTTTTCCATATTGATTTTGCGAGATTTAGGCAGTCAAAATCGTCAATATCCAGGCTTTTTAGACTCTGACGTATTGATGATGACAGTTTTTCTGAACTTAACGTGAAGCTTTACTTTATCTGTACGCTCTTTTGTAGTGTAAGCAAGCATTCTAACGACATTAGTAAATCCTCCATCAAAAACAGTGCAAATTTTGGTGACAAGAAATGTTCATAACTTTTTTCGGATAAGCCCACAGCAGATAATAAAAATAGATTCGGAATCAGCGCTTTAAGATGCAAAGTGTATGTTTCACTTCAAAAGGCCGCGGTCACCAAGTATCCTTTCCTTGTAAGACGCATCTATTGATATGGGTCTCAGTACAAAAGTCTACTGTCAACAAGTATCCTTCCCTTGTGAGATGCCTCTAAAATGACATAGCTTGCTTATGATCTAGGTTGAAAGGGCTTGAATCTGGTTATTTAGAAGTTTTTCCTATTTTTGTTCTGCAGTCCTTCTGGACGTTCATTCTCCAGAAAGTTTCAGGCGATTTCCCTCTGTGGCTGAAAAACTGAAGTTCGTGCCAGGACTAGAAGCCAAGTGTAAGTTGGTAGTGGTTATATGATGTTTCGAAAGAAGGTTGGAGTGTTTAGTACGCCATGCTCAACTAGACAAGGAATTAGGTATTCCACCAATTGAATCCTGGCGTCGCGGATCACTCGCATCCTACCTTCCTCTGCCTTCGTTCGGCAATTTCTCAAGACGAGGATCACGGAGAAGCAGCCAAGTCTCATTCAATACGCCAAACATCTTTATACAAGTGTAAATGCGAGCTATGGGGTTCTTCTGCCCCAGTCCTGTTATATCATCTGCCAAATAAAGATCTCATAACATTGATCATGATGCCCAGAATGCAAACAAACATCATGTTTGCTTTCTTGATTTGCCTAATAGTAATGCTAACGTATTCACTAGGTCAGAGCTGACACAAAATTAAGTACTGCAAAGCGAGCTCAAAAGTTTTGTCGATTTGATATGCTTCATTCTCAAATTAGGGTCCGATTTATCTAGAAATAGTTCTTCATTCCGTTCCCTAGAAACAGTCCTCCATTCTGTTTCTTTTTCTTTGATCATTCGTTCGTTGAAAGTTGAAAAGACTTTGGCATTAGTAAAGGCGAATGGGGAATTTAACACCGCTCCAATATCATCAATGATGCAAGAGATGCCCAAGGCCTCAGACGACGGTTGCCCGAGTTAAGTGACATCACCGTAGCATGGCCATATCTCGCTTCGGAGTGGACGAATTCGAATAAGGACACCACTCAACTCAACTTGGCGGGGCGCATCTTCTGATTGTAGTGGATGTGGGAATTCGGTAGGCTTACGCGAGAAAGTCGGTCTGCACGGAAAGTCGGCTTGGAGCTTGTAGAAGGTATTCAGTGTGCTCATTACAGGAATAATACTAAGTCGTTGCAGTGTTGGTTTGTCGAGTTACGGCAGATGTACGGTGAGCTGATGTCAATTCGCATGTAGAATTTAAATCTCATTTGCTTTCAAGTGCGTGAATGACAGATTGCCAGTCACAACGAGCTTACCAGGTCTCTGCTTAGATGCATTAAACAACTCGAACGAAGCTCTTTTCTCACTTAAAACTACAATCTTTAGAGTCGTAATCTTACGTAAAGTTACAGTATAGAAGTTTGAACGATCTGCTACACACTAAACCTTGCAGTTCCGAAAGAAGAGTGTTACTTTTCTCGGACTACTCAGATTACTTTCAAAGTCAGTGCGCTCTAGAAACCGTCTGGTTTTTTGTGCTTCTAGCACTCTAATCAGCTTCTATCAAGGCTAAGAGATAGATAACCTTGTTCATACATTTCGTTATTCTTATATTGATATATTTCGTTTGGCAGGAAAAATCTTTCATCTCGCGCAAGGAGTTGCAATCAGATACAGTCACATACCGCACACAAGAATGCTGCACATTTAAAGACTTCGGAAGTAGACGTTAATATGGTGTAAACAGGCCAATCAAAGTTTAAGCGTTGGTATTCGCCTTAATACCATGGGGTACCGCTTCTTTTCTCGCCATACTTGCTCGTATAACGTTAGATGTTGTTATCTCCTTATCATCACTTTCACGAGGCCTTCTGCTATTAAGTACAACTTACTGAACATTCTAGCTCTGACGCATTTAGATTGTGTAGCACGTCCAAGCTGCTGGATACGCTTTTGGAAGGGCTGATTGCTATGTGTTTAGCGAAGGTAGCGCTGGACTTTCTCAAAACTGCTTTTCAGTAACTTTCATGTCTAGCCTATCTCTTCATCTGTAGAGGTCATTACGGCATACTCATCATCTGAACTTTCATGACAAGCTTGTTTGGACGAGGTATCCGAAAGCGGGCAGCAAGACGCTGTATTCATTTATGCACTTTATTTATGTTCAGTTTCCTCGTGCTGATTTTAGAGTCCTGACTGACATAGCTGGCTTACTAAGAAACCTTGCTAGGTGCTTAGCTGACCTTTACCACTTAGTTTATGGTCCAAAAGTTGAGCTGAAAACATGCACCATAGAGTTGCGCTTAGCTTTCAACAGTGCGGCATCCTTAAGTTATTCTTCGAATTTTACTATTTCCGACCGATTCTACAACCCATATGAGGCTGTGCCATTAGGAGCCAGCTCGAGTATCACAGCATCTTGTGCACGCAGTAGCTTACTTGGATGACTCATGTACTGAATGCCGAACTTGGTAGCGTCCAGATAAATCCGGAAACATGGGAATTGTACGTGAAATGACAAGCGGCGGAAGGTCCGTTCCCGCTGAGATTCGTCTGCAAATTATGATCGCTCTACCGTATTTGGCGAACGACTTGAATCGACCTGTATGATTTTGGGTTGAAGAATCAGCGCCCTCGAGATAGATTTCCGCCAAAAAACCTGTAAACCAATGCAGGTCGTACACGGTACTGGAGACAGTGCCTGGACGCTGCCTCAGATAGTATCGTTTATCCGATATCTTCGGAAGAATATTGCCTGGTGATGTCAGAATTCTATCATCTTTCTGTAATTAAGTTGAATTAGCTGGTATAATCTCTGTTGTTATCGAGGTCCATGGTAATCTTTGTTCAAGCTTTCAGTTCTCTGACCAACCAAAACCTTTCATCCCCCATGAGAACTGATTGGCTTGATTACCTGGCTGGATCTTACGGTAGTCGACTTAGCACGACTCTATGCTATGTAAGCAGGCAGTAAGGCTTTGATATGAAAGGAGAAGTGTGCTGTGACACCAGTAGCTCTTATAGGAAAAATTTTTTGTGCCTGCCAACCCAAAAATTAACTGAGAATCCGCCTGGGAGTTATTCGACCTTCTGATCCAAAATGATATCATTTCTCATGGTAGACCCTCTTTGGGGAATAATGGAGGCATACTCCAAATTTTTAGATTCTGCTGGAATATTGCACATAGGATTTTTTGACATGCGATCGCGAATATCACTTTTTCCGCGCGGAAACGTCTCCCTCTGTGCTTACGGTAAGTGTACGGGAGGATGTCAAAATCCTAGATTTGGGTACAGTCTGGTTTAGAGGGGTAATGGACATGCTGAACGCAAATATCGTAATCTTCTTGCATTCTGGTACTTCTTCGCAAAGTTACGATAGCCATTCCTGACTAACAAGGGAAGGATGATCGGTCGAAGTGGCCATTTGGAATGAGCTGTATACTAGAAAACCGTCCTCGGTAAGGCAAACTCAAAACTACTTTCGCTAGGTGCCGAGCGGTTTTGTGGGGGAAGTTACAAGGCCATTTTCCTCCGGCGCAGCCGGCGCACCCAGTGATGAGCGAGGCGCTAGACAACGCGGAAGTGTTGGCAGTGGCGCAGTGGGGAGACAGCGGACTACAAAGCAGATGATCGAGGGTTCGAGTCCTGTTGCTGCTATTTTGTTTTGCAGTTCTGTAAAAAGTCTATTGGGTGACAGTAAACGAAAAATACTCATTTCTAGGCAGTTGAAACAAGCTATTTACTGCAAAAAAGTCACTATTTCTACAATAAGCTATAATCTTCCACAATATGTAAATCTGTGGAGGTTATGATGTCACAACAATGGTTCAAATGATATATTAACATGTATGGAATACAACCATAAAATTTTCAAAGCAGAAGAGCTTCTCGCAGCGCGCGCACTTGCAGAATTGCATTGTTGTGACATCATAACCTCCATACATTTACATATTGTAGAAGATTATAGCTTATTGTAGAAATAGTGACTTTTTTGCAGTAAATAGCTTGTTTCAACTGCCTAGAAATGAGTATTTTTCGTTTACTGTCACCCAATAGACTTTTTACAGAACTGCAAAACAAAATAGCAGCAACAGGACTCGAACCCTTGACCACCTGCTTCGTATTCCGCTGTCTTGCCACTGCGCCACTGCCACACTGATGCCTTGCTCTAGCGCCTCGCTCATCACTGGGTGCGCCGGCTGCGCCGGAAGAAAATGGCCTTGTAACTTCCCCCACAAAACCGCTCGGCACCTAGCGAAAGTAGTTTTGAGTTTGCCTTACCGAGAACGGTTTTCTAGTATACAACTCATTCCAAATGGCCACTTCAACCGATCATCCTTCCCTTGTAAGAAACACAAGCACGCTCTGCGTACGTTGAATTGACAAGTTCGTGAGCTCGTTGCAAAGCCTTTGGTGAATTACTATTAGGAATTCGTGAACGAGCAGAAAGAATGTGGTTGGCCTCCTCTTCAAACAACGGGGGTTTGAACATGTTCTTTCATGTATTTCTTGTAGTAATCATTTTTAATCGGACGTACGCAGAGCGTGCTGATGTCTCTTACAGAGAATGATTGATGTATGGTAAAGGATATAAATCGTTGATATGCTTGAAGCTCTGCACAGGGAGTATCTGATGTGCTGTGATCGAGAAATTGACGCTCATTTCGCATGATAAAAACTTTTCGTGGATTTTTTTGGGTATGAATGATTTACCTAAAGTGTCTACCACTGCGCTGCAAACTTCTATAACTTGACAATAAAGGACCATTGCAGCAAGCAAGCCTGATATTCGTAATCAGCATACTTGAAAACCCCCTCCAGGCAGTTTCGAGCAAATCTGAAACTTTGATTCACCTATCGTAAACTCAATGTAGCTCACGAAAATGGTACTAGCTTGCGGATTAAAGGTGTTTGACATGTTCAGCATGCTATAACCTCCCCCCCCTCCCCTTTTGAGCGAGGTTTCAGCAATCTGCTTTTGAACCCCTTCTGTTCGCCCCCCTACCGTACAGGAGACTTTTTCGTGAAAGAAATATATTATACGTGATAAGCATGTCGTATAGCCCTTCTGCAATGATTCAGCAAGACCATCTGGGATTTTGGCCTTTTCCGTACTCCTTCCGCAACCCCGAAGAAAGGCCTATCATGCGAAATGAGCATTAATTTTGCGATCAGCAGTTCGAATCCCCCTAGCCGTTTTTCAGAAACTCATAATTTTGAAGTTTTAAGTAGATACAAGTTGAATAGCGGTGTAGAGTTGGCGGTAGGTTAGCACTCTTAACTAAGGCGAATCCGCGGTGGGCCTAATTCCTTTAGCAAAGTGCCCATTGATCCAGCGTGAGACTGTTGATCCAGAAGAAAGCAATCGACAAGCCGGCGAAAGAAGTAAAATTGTCGCATCACTTCATCAGAATCTTGAAGTTAAAGCTAGGGCGTTACCCGGAAACGACGCGCATTTGGGGCCGACGAATGCGAACATCGGTCAGGGTTACCGTCTCAGGATGAGCGGGGTTGGAAAAGAAGCTAGTTCATCAAAGGCACGACTACAAGCTTTCGAAAAGACTTCGTCCAGTCACTCTCGACGTAATACATATTAACAACACACAA